CTTATTTACCTTTCACATGATGACGGTCGTGTTACACGGTTACACTGTCCCGGCGTCTCCGCCGCTCCCCTGGCCACCCCTTACGCGAAGCTCGGTACACCCAGTCCCGCATGGCGAGGGGTTGTATGCGCCCACGTTCGTACGCACCACGCATCACACATATTTGGACGGCTCGCGTGCGCACTGTCAATGCTTGGAGATTCCTCTGGCGTCAAAGATTCAACTTCACAACCATCTTTGCCGCCGTCGACATCGACTCAGACTTTCTTGTCCAGCGACGCCGACACGGCCCTGGGGTGTTCGAAGGTGCCCATGAACAATATGATTTCCTGCGAGTGATCGTAGATGACGTACATGAAGGGGTGGTTACAGATGAACGCCGGAGGCTCCGCAGGCCGAGCGCTGCGGAAGAGGAATAATGCCGTGGCCGCTGCCGCCTCTGCGCCCTCTTCGTTGATCTCCAGGAAGGACTTGTGTAGCGCTTTCTTGAGCGCCAGGTTGCCCGAGTCCGAGAAGCCGTTCAGGTTGACGGCCGACGCGTTGAAAAGGTTATCAAAGCCCAGGGCGCTCAGTTTCTGAAACACGTGGCGGACACGTGGTGAACACCCTGCCGTTGGACACGAACAGGCGGTAGCACACAAGCTTAATCATGCGATCCGTCAAGCGGAACCGTCTGTTCCGATTAGGAAATTGTGATTGAGTTACACAGTTTTAGTTTAAGATTCAGGCCGTGGCTCCAGGTCGCATGGTATGCCCATGAGAAGCCCCATTCTTTGATGACTGCGGGACGGTCTGCATCAGCCCCGCAGTCATACATCCCACACGAGTCCCTTCGGCCACCAGCATGGGGCTGGCCTGCCCCGCTCCGGCCTCTGACCTCCTTCATCTTGTAGCTCTCTTCGATGCGGAACTTGGGGATCTGCACATCAATATCGACGGGCCACATCATCTCCATGTTCGAACGCAGCGTCTCGGCCGTTAGCCGAGACACAGTCGTGTCTAGTGCGCCCTCTATGAACGGCGGCAGCAGGATAAACATGGTGATCTCTCCGCCCTGGTACGGAAGCTCCAGGATTTGCGCCTGCAGGTCCTCCGACACGCCTGGTGGCAAAACAGCGGCAGATAAAATCGCCGGCTATCAGTTCCTTAAGTGGGGGTCTGGCTATAGTTATGAACATGTAGTATTTGTCCAGTGCAGTTTTGAGGCACGTCAAGACATAATCAATTATCTGATTTAAGTCGTCGACAGGTTGAAAAGACATACCTGACCTGAAAGACTTGCCCCACCCAAACAAAATTATATTTGATAGCACTTTAGAGGTACCAGGCTCACCACTGCACCCAACCAAAACTCGTGCACAAGCTGTGCAGATTGTTGGAGGCATTGAGTCCACGAAACCAGAGACACGGCTTGTAATAAGAACAGGATAATTTAAACTAAATGATTAATTAACGGACAAGAATAGATCGCGCATATTTTACGACACATTAAATGAACGCTGGCTACCCGGAGGGATGTATCTTGGGCCCAGCATATTTTCTACCTAGAAGGACCAACAGACAAGACGGAAAAGAGCTCTGTTCTACTCTGACCACAAATCACTGCATGCATCAAATGGTACGCAACACGTAAAAACGTGCAGAAATGTATTCAACATTACATATCTCACTGGAAAGTAGCGTCAACCTTTGCCATAACTTTCACTTCATCCGAAACCGTTTGCCGCACATCTAGTAACAACGCTCAAAACCTCTAGCGGACCATGACATTCGCAAGACAAAAGATCTTCCTCACGGAGGGGCACAAATATCTTGGACTCATTTTGTATCAAGGCCTCACATCCCCTAACCGTGTCGACGAACTAGTCCGTAATGCTAATACCGTTCACAGCTCGCTGTGCTCTGTTGCATCCCAGTTCCGATGACCTATTTTGGAAAAACGTATGTGACCTACACCCTTGTTTCGTGTGCAATAGCCTTGAGGAAAGTAGCAAGCTGGTAAGTCAGTGCGAGCGTACCTCGGCTGTTTCCAGTGCAGGCACGACAATTGCAAGTTGAGCCATGCGCTTCTTTGCCTCCCATTTTGTAGTAAAGGGCCAGGGTTGCGGATTACAGTGTGATATTATAGCGGGTTATTATGTCATTGCGCTAAAAGGTTTTAATGTTTGCAGGTTCCTGCGCATAAACACCTTCACAATAAAGGACAAATATCTCAAGATAGACATCAAATATACAAGACATGAGGTTCTTGAGTAGTGTCTACTGAAGCATTTAGCGTTCATTTACCGTAGTTGAAATGTGCCTTCTGCTTCATCATCTTGACGAAGGTGACCTCAGATCTAGATGCGTAGAAGAGTTCCTGCTTGGTTTTGCTTGGCTTGAACTGCGATTGCCACGTGCCCTTGAAGTACGCCGCATTTGCCTGCGAAGTGTAAGGTGTAAACAGTTGGGCAGAAGGAAGATAATCAGGCCATTCGATAACGACCAGAATCCCGTCACGTTTATGCGTCGTGACACAACGTTACGTTATCATAGCCCGTGACTGATTAAGAAACATACCGCTTAAGCCGCTCGAACAGGTACTGTGCGTGAAATTCGCAAAAGACTAATTATCATTCTCCACGCGTCTGGAGTCCATGCGAACTCTTCACAACATGAGCTCAGTTTTCATGCTTATCGACTGAAAGATGCTCCCACATCTTAGTCACACCAACCGCTCCCACCATTTCCAAAAGTATTCTTACCATCGTCAAATAAATATTTCACATTTGAAGATGTTGGAGCTAACACCAGATATGATGGAATAACCGCGCTTTTATCTCGTAGTACACTGTTAAGTGGAAATGACTGCTCTCGACACCCCAACTGTTCTGTGTAAAAGTATGCCCCTCATCAGGTCATTTTTTATTGTGTCTTTGCACAGTGCAACAGTGATTAAAAGCCGATTAACGGCTATTTTATTTGTAAATCGTGTTCACGAACACCAGATATGAACGACTCGACTCGTTATATTCTTATGGGCCTTAGTCGTCGCATGGCTAAGAAAATGGCAGGATTTGAATAACGTTATTATGTCGTCATAGATGCCTTTGTGACCTTGACATAATCACCCCGAAATAGTCTGCGTATCTTCGCGGGCGTGTAGCTCTAGAACTACGAATTTAGATCTTAGGAAGGGCAGGGCTGTGACCTGCACCGAATTATCTTCAAAACGGCTATTTCATTTCGAAACCCCATACAAAGTGTAACACTCCCTTTCATCGTGGCATATAACATCACTGTCGTCGTATGCGACTAACTGACTCCCAACCCAGCTCGTTGTACTTATAGATACTGAGTCGGCTGTCCTTTCTCAAATACCGGCCAAAAACCAAGGGTTGCGATCCGGGCGGCCTCTTCAGCCACGTGACCTGCACGTCAACACCGCAGTTCAGAGTAAACGACCACCGGGGTTTTTCCAAAGCGGCGGCGGTCAGAGTGGCGTACCAAACATACAAACCCACACATCAACGTCGTTCTGCCAGGACAGGCCAGGCCAGGCCAGGCAGGACAGGACAGGAAAGGACAGGACAGAACGGGCGGGGCAGAGCAAGGTGGGACAGGGCACGGCACGGCACGGCACGTCACGACACGGCAGGACAGGGCAGCATACGGATAGAATAGAGTGGGTGAGTGCGTGATGTGACGAACGAAGCAAGCAAACACTGCAACGAACCGAAAACTTGAAAAGCCACCTTGTGGATGAATTTTGAGCATTCACATACATCATCGAAACATGGAGTATCGAGAGTGAAAAGGCCTTGCCGTCCTGAGTCAGTGCCACTTCTGAGTCGCCGCGCAACATCGACTTCCGCGCCGCCAGGATTACGCTTTTCAATCCCTGATTTTGTGAGAAGTCCGCTCCCAACTGTGAATGCTTTGCTTAAACTCGGCAACAGTTAATAATGTACCGTTCTGTTTGTATCATGTCGTCCAGATCCATTATGGGGGACTGGTACTATTTTCCTGGTCACATGACTGCTGCACTAAATCAAATGCCCCCACATCTAAGTTTCTGTGACCCTTTAAACTCAGTCCACTGCTTCAACTCATTTCTTATTCCTAGACACATAAGTTTGTTTTTGCTCAACCGCGCTTAACCCAATTGGTCTTAATACGCACTCCGGTAGCCGGCTGATTCCACGCGCTCTGGTGGGGGCTCAGTTGGGCACCGCAGAGATCTAAAAAACTGACAGCGGTAGAGACACTAAATTTACGGAGTACATTAGCCTTATGCGAACTCACTTGTGCGAAAAGTTCCTATGTCCTAAAAGTTCCTAGGTCCACAAGTAGCATGAAATCAAATAAGGTCAGATTCAAGATCAGTTTTCAAAGTGCTCCCAGACCTCCACATACAACGCCTTGGACCTAGATACCTGTTCTCAGCATACGGTCACTGGTGTTTGTCCTGGGTCAGTGACCCTTTAAGTCATATTGGCCAAAACACTGCAAAGCCTCTTTCAATTTTGAAATGGAATGAGAATCAAGAATGACGTTAGCGGTGCGTTCCTAAAAATGTCGCTCTGGGTCACTTCAGGTCAGTAGGTGTACTCTAACTAAAGAGTAATTGTACTTTTTCCCACAAGATGTTCATGGAAGATGTCGCTGTCGGTCCCGTTATCAAGACATTTAAATTATTCGACAGGGGCAACCCCATATACAGTCTCCAACACAAAAGCGGGTTCGTTTCAACCTCGGTCTGACCTTCATATCTGACCCAAGGTGCGTAAGTTACGTAACGTAAGTTGCATTCTATAATGCATTTTCATTCACAAGCTTAGCTCACAGATAAAAAATTTCAAATATGTGCCTGTTTACAGCTCTTTTTTAAATCGATGCGAAGAGTGTGACTGTATGTATTCAATAGGGCTGCTAAAGAGCATTAGATTCCATACGTCGCCACTTGCCCGATTAGTCCATCCATTGTGTTTGGTCACCACACGACAGCGTCTCATCTAACGCGGGCTGGACCTTCCGCAACAGCGATTTGCAAAGATTCGGCGACAAATTTAAGATGCGTTAGTCGTGCCGGTTGCGGATAGCTGGTGCACACAATGTCATTGTGGAAGTATTGCGGAAGCAATATCGGCATGCTATGGAATTCGCTAATCGGCCGACACGACCATTTTTCCATTAGTTTCTGTGGCCTGACCAAGGCCATACAGATACTAAGGAAGAATAGCCCTAGTCTCCGTAGATGCGGAGCCTGACTGGGGTCTGAGCCTGAACGCTCGTAGCATGATGGCTAGCATAAGGTGGCCGTTTAGATAAGTTGTAAGCGCACGTGAAGAGAAAGCCTGTGTACTTAAGATGGCGCTGCTCTACGAGTGTCATCTGCAAGCATAACATGCGAATTTGATAGTTGAGGTCAAGCTTTATGTGGAGCATTCGGCCCAGAGCACACCCAAAACAGTTCAAACACAATTACATTTATTCCAGCAACCGTATCATTCATTCGGTTCAGACCATACGACAGCATCTCAGTTCACGCAAGTCGCGCAACAGTGATTTTTTTTAAAAATCCGTATGATTGAATTCTCCTTTGGGCTTGCGCTGTGGGTGCAGCCCCATGTGTATGCAATGCCACTTTCGGATCACCAAGGCCGTACATGGCCGAGGTAAAACCGGCCGACGATTCTTGCTGCGTCTTGACTTGGTACACTTTTAGCCTCTCAGTCCATTGCATTTTTTTTAAAGGTTCGGCTGAATATCAGTTCGCAAAGCATATGATCATGCTTAGCTTCATTTCTAACTTATCAGACTCTGAATCTATGTACCTATCAGTAATAATCTGCATGCTACGTTTCTGGTGAAAAGGTAGTCTGAAGTTCGGGCCTCCGGCCTACAACAGTTCACTTTGTAAACGCATTCGCTTTTCACTTCTGATTGCATTTCACCCGCTTAGCATGCCAACTGCAATTAACACATCACCATTCTTTCTTACTGACATTTCCGCATCCGGATCGCTCGCTATATGCACTTACCCTCAACAGTTTGTCCATCATCGATACGAGGGCAGCCGATGTCTTGGCCGCCCATCTCTGCAGCATTGCTGCATAAGCGTGTTTCATTTCCGCGCGATTTCGTTGAAATGGTTAACCGCAGAAGCCTGCAAAGCACATAATAATATTCGACGTCGGATTCCTTGCAGCTGACTGCCTCATGAGCCTGTCGCTAACAATCTGCTCTATCGATACGAAGAGGTCGATGTTGTGGCCGTCCTATTTTGTATAATTCTTGCGTGTACGCATTCCACTTTCATGCCATTCCGTTATCAGTGTCTTTATTATCTATACGTTCCGATGTTCCGGCTGTCCGACGTAAACAAGTGACGTCACTGCCGTGCATACAGCGGTGACAACCTGACTTATGGTAAAGCCCATGCACAGCAGTCCTCCGGGGAGCGCCATCGGCTGGCAACTTAAATCGCTCATCGGCTGACGCGATCTTGTGCGTTCAGGCCTCCACTAGACTGCGCAATGATATCTGCGCCTGGACGCCCTGCAGCGTGGTGGCAGCTTACGGCGGTCTTCGAAAAACACTTAGTCGCGCACGAGTAGCGCGACAGTGAGCATTTCACAGCGCTATTCGCTATTCGCCATCTTTGCCTAGCACCTTTTCATACGGCTATCAGTTGTAAGCATAACACACTTATTCGATTACGACATTCATTTCATCAGTCGACCCCCCGCCCCCCCCCCCCCCCCCTTCCCCAAAAGGCGGCACACACAACGCTGGCGGCCGGCTGCAGCAGCGACCTACAAAGCTAGGGCGTCCAGTGTAAAATGGTTGCAGTCGTGTGTGGCGTGGAGACCACGTGCACACTATGTCATTGTGGGAGCACTACCGGCCGGCCATATAAATATGTGTTCGGAGGACATGAACTGTTTTGCATTTCTGCATGCGGCCAGCCAGCCTGTAAAATCATATCAAGCGTGACGCGGACGCCGCAAACACTGATAATCGCGCGCGAAGAGTGAGGCTCTGTGCATTCCGCAGCGCTGCTTTAGGGATATCAGCGTCAAGTACAGCTCTCCTGTCTGATTAGGGTACACATTTTATTTGTTCGATCTCCCGCAGCATCCCACCCAAAGCTGGTGCGCAGCGAGGGTTTTCAAAGATGTGACATATATTTTAAAGTTTTTTTGTAAGCTGTGCGCGGCGAGAGTGAGCACGGGCACACGATGTCACTGTGGGAAATCGATCAGCCGGAAATGTATTTCGCTCATCGGCGAACGCGACACTTTTTCTTCAACCCCCTCTCGCCCTTAACGGCGCAATGTTCACTGCTGCGTGCCGGCCTGTGGCGCTATGGCTAGCAAAAGGCTGCCCGGGAAAAATTGTACCACGCGCAAAACGTTGGAATGCGTACGTTAGATACCGCAGCTGTATAGTTATTACCTGCCATTACAATGAACTTGTCCGATTAAGATATCCATTTTATTCGGTCGACCGCTCTTGGCGGAGTCTACAGTGTTCAGACAGGGACGCGACCCGAAAGCCAGCGGCCTCCTGTGTTGGCCGAAGCCCTCTGACAATGAAAGTAGAGATAAAAGTTGACGATGTGACTGCACAGCGCGATAATGGAATGCCCTTTGTCAGACGGGGCCCCGGGACCGAATGGGGGGCTCTTTATCCTATTCCAGTCACGGACCCGTTATGCCGAACTGTTGTCTCCATGCTAATTATGGAACACCTATGACTATAAGAACTTTTTGCATCAATGAGGGCCCTTGCGTCCACTTGGGAACAAATGGCCGGATCCGGGGGCCCCCGGCATCAG